GTATGTGAATTAGATCTCAATAAAACTGATACATCTATTTTAAAAACCAGCCATAACCTTCCCTTGCTCCCCAATTCCATGTGTGTACACGTGCACCACACCAACTCGTGATCAGCGGCAGGTTAATTACAAACGCCCAGCTAATGAATGTCCTTTGTGTGTGACCGGCCCTGAGCCTCCTTATCCCTTTACTCCCTTATGACTACTTATTAATCCCCTCCCCCAGCCCTCCCACCAGAGAAACCAATTCGTCCGGGCCAATGGCACCACCTGGTGGCCATCACAGGAAATGCCTCACCAGATATTTCTGCTCCACCTTCTCCCTCACCACCCACGGCGCTCATGCACAAGCCATTCTCCTCTCTTTTCTTCTTCCAGCTTCAAGGTTCAGTTAATTCTAGTTTAGGTAATCTCCATTCTATACAGAAACATTCCCTTCCATCTCTTCTCCCAACTCTTGCCCCGTGTCTCCCTCTACGGCTGCTAAAAAGCTTAAGGAACTTCAGCTACAAGTCTGTGCTGTGTGAAAGGAGAATAGCAAACCTTCAAGTGGTGAGACACAGTCAGATCTAATAAAGAAGCAAAGGGTCTCATTAACAGATATTTCAGAGAAAATGAAAAGCAAATAGCTATATACTGGATGGAAAGATGGTCAGTTTTGTTGGTAATCAAATAAAGACCAATTAAAACAATGAGATGTCATTTTTGCCTCTCAAATGAAAAGATTAAAAAAGGTAATACTCATAGTTAACAAGTGAGACAAGATTCGCAGGAAGAGACAGAGAGAAGCAGCCATGTTAGTCTGACATTTGCAGAAAGCAATGTGACAGTATGGAGGACGTGGAGCCTAAAAATACGCAGGGAGCTTGACCCGCTTCTTCTTTTCATAGAAACATAGACCCCAGAGAATTTATCAGGAGTCTACACAAAAAGTTACATGCAAATATCATCACCGAAGCAATGTTTATGATGGGGACAAATTGGAAAAACTGAAAGTGTCCAACATTTGGGGAATGCTTGCCTGAACTGCGGCATAAGCATATAGTAAGACATAATGCAGTTACTAAAAATAATATCAGTGATTTTTTTTAATGATATACAAAAGGCCGCATACAAAAGTATAAAAATCCAGATAAAAATATCTACAGTATGATTTTTAAAAACCACATATAGATGCATTAAAAAAGGTACTAGAAGGAAAGACAGCAAATGTTGAAAGTGGGTATCTCCAGCTGGCAAGATGATAAACAATGTATTTTCCACATCATCCACAATGGCCTTTACTACATTTATAAGAAAAATTGCTACAAACATAAGCAATCCATACCACGTATAGTCTCTAAAGGTACCCCAAATTTGCTTCTGAACGTGCAGTGGCAGGAGAAATTAGGCATTTAGAGAAGCAGACCTCCACTGCTGACTGGCAGAGGAGATTGGCAGTATCTGGAGACACTGCTGGTTGTCACAATTTGGGGGATTCTACTGGCATGCCGTCGGCAGAGGCCAGGGATGCAACACCCACAACGGAGAATTCTCTGGCCCAATGTCATGAGTGCTAATGGAAAACCTTGCTCTAGACACCAACTCCCAGGATTTCAATCCAGATCCCATCCCCCTTAGCTGGTCAACCCTGAGCCAGTTGCTCACCTACTCCACACCTCAACTTGCCCTCGTCAAAGGGAATCATTGCACAGACTTCTGAGGACAAAAACAATATACAAAGTGTCTGGCACATAGTAGATACAAAAGAAATATTAGCTCTCTTCCCCTAGAACCATATTTGAAGAAATAACACTATTACTCAATTTTGTGTTTCGTTTTGGTAGCTATTATAAAAAGAGTGTTTTCTAGCCTTTTAATTACATCTCACCGTAATGAGATTACCCATTTCAAACAGAATTTCAGAGTCAAGTAAGCTTTGATGAGCTCTCCTCAGATTCTAGAACTTTAATATTCAGGTTGATAGGATGAAAAAAATGAATTCTTGGGTCTACAAGAGTGATTACCAAAAACTCATGGAGGCCAACATTCTAAGTACTGGGGCCAATGTCAGTCAAAAGCTGATCTCCTGTGCCAATGCTGCCCAACGGGTCTGCCCTGAAGTCAAAAGGCTGAGCCTGGAGAGGGGACCAGAGCACCAAAGGACACAAGCATAGGTGTCCTGTGTGCGTCTTTCATTATTGACCAAAGCTACACATGAATGATTGACAGCTCATCTGTCCATTTGGGTTTCCTGTACTTTTCCCCTTCCCTGAATGACTCAAGCTCTATTTACAAATGTGCTCACAGAAATTAAGAATGGTTTAGAGAGAGCAAAATTCTAGTCTCAAGATATCCTCACTCTTACTGCTTCTATGTCAGACTGTATTGGTACTACCTGGAGCAGTGGGACATCCCGCCAGTCGCCTCTCAGCGCCTTTGCCTAAATTGGAGCGAGGCTAGGGGTCATCCACGTACTCTCCTCTGTACTGGAGCTGAGGCTGAGGGAGGTGATCTGACTTCCCTGGGAGCCCAGATGAATGCACTGAAGAGGGCCAGAAGGCCTGGGAGGGTAGGCAGGCTGTGGAGAGAGCTGCATGGGTCGAGAGAACTCCCTCGGGTCACAGCCATGGATCTGGTGAGCTGGGAGTGAGCTGACCACTCCCTGCCTGCAGGCACGTCTTGCCTGTCCACAGCCCAGACCCCGAGGCACCAAAACCCTGCCTGTAAAAAAAGCCAGAGTCACTTACCAGGCTCCAGCGTGCTGTATACAGACCTAGTTAAATGAGAGCCAACTGTCAAAAAATTCTCTTCACTGACCACACATGCGAAAAAAAGATCCTTCTGATATTAGTATAATGCATCATTTACTGTCAGAATAACTGCTGTTCTTTCCCCTTCCCTTCGAAAACATTTTCAGACAATACCACCTGCATCGTTGCCATATTTTTGCACACTTCAGCGACAAAGGACTATTCAGAGTCTGGACAAACTCAACAAATGGTCCCTCCCATTATTTTTTAAAAAAATGAAAAAAAAGTGAGAGACAGGAGAAGAGACCCACTGGTTCCACTCAGGAGACAGGCGTCTTTGGTAGTTTACAGCACAGGAATCCTTCCCAGCAGGCCCCGCCATTCCTGCTGCTTGGAAGGAAGACGTTAGTCACCCACATCTTGTCCAAACCATGCAGGGCTTGTCAACACAGGCCTGCTGAGCTATCGTACCAGAAAGATGGCCTTAGGAAGCTCCTCTAGGCCTCTGCAGGGCAGGCCAGTCACCTGGACTGACGGTTCCCTCAGCCACAACCTCTGTCTCACGCAAAGAAAAACTCTGACTGGCTACTGGGGGAAACGACCAGTGGTACCACGAGACTGCATGGAGGGTCCATCACCAGGGTCATTTCAGGGCCTAGGAAGTATCACTCTGTCTTGGTCGGGCCAAATGCCAGTGGAAACCTTCTTTTCTCACTACATGCTACACCATGTCCCACCGGGCACCCGGTCAACTCCAAAGAGTGTGAGGTCACTCTGGGTCAGTGTCTGACCTCTGGGAACTTATCATCAAATGTGCGCAAGCGAATAACCACATGGAAAAGGTGGAGCTGCCCCAGGAAAGATCCATTCTACAGATTATTCAGCACGTGCTGAGCATTGCAGGAGCCCTGCCCCCTTTATTACCTCTCTGACATCCATCAATGCTGAATGACTGAAGAAATGCCTACCTCCGTCCCCTGAGATCCCAAGTGTTGGTCCTGAATGTGCATGTATTTGACCAACACGAAAAGAAATATCCACTCCTCCCTCCCGCCCAATACCACCACCAACACCACTGCCGCCATCAAGGGTGTCTCCAGATTTGGGGCATCCTGTTTATCTGCAAGGAGAGAGAGGTGTGTGGCACACTCTGCAGGCAAAGGGATAGGCTTTGGGAGGCAGGAGCTTCTCTGGGGGAGCTTAGGGCCTTGAGTAACACACACCACATGCTCTTGTCCCCACATGTTCTCTTAAGTAGAGAAATTTAGTGACACCCTTAAAAACATCCAGCCTTCCCTTCACCTCCCACCATAACCACCCTGCACTCAACACATACTGGCTAAAAAAGTATATTTCTTCCCCCTTCTTCCCGTCTGAACCTGAGTCCCCATGATCCGCGTCCTACCGCTCCTCAGGGAAGGCCAGCTCGAGTTCAACTGATGTGTGACGTCTTTTCTGGGGGTCAACGCCTTACCCCCACCCAGAACTCCTTTTGCGGTGACTGTCTGATCCACATGCTGGCTCTCAGCTTCTATCCCAGCATGTTGCAGACATGCATTTCAATTTTTATGTCCCTTTCCCTCGCCTAGACTTCAGGTTCCTTAAAGAAGGGCTGCAAGTCACAGTAAGAGAAACTGGGCCCTGTGCCTCTTCTGCGCAGCTCCTCGGGTATCAGCTTGTATCTCGCCCATATCGCTGGCCCACCTCACCAGAGTGAGGAGATGTGTGAAAACACAGTGCACCATTCTGATCTTTCTTGTGTTCTGTCGTTCTTACACCTCTGGATGCCTCTAGACTGACGCACCAGTGGAAAATGCAGCCAGGGAAGGGAGGAGTAACGGAAGCAAGGAGAAGTAAGGGAAAAAGCAGTCCCATCCTGTCCATCCTGATTTTCTGTAAAATTACTCAATGCCTCTGGTCAGAGTTTAACCTTTACGAACAGGTTAAAAGAAGATAACGCCTAAATCTCACCTATTTTACAAAGATCTTATGGAAATAAATTAGATCCATGTTCGTTGGTTTTAAAACACAGCAAAGCCACAGTTCTTGGCATGTGGTAGGCATCCAATAATTAAAAATGGAAATATGTTAGATGCTGTTTTGGTAGGATGCATGGTTCAGGGGAACGGCATTGATCACGGCCTGCCTGACATGCCAGCAGAGAGTCTGCTCTCAAACCACTGAGGGCAGCACGCTTTGCAATTCATCTGCATGCTTTTCCTACACTGACTCACATCCACATGAGCAGGCTTCACTCTTGGACTGGTGGCTGACTAAATAGCCTTCTTGACTTTAACGATGCTTCTATAACCTATTTCACGGCAAAACAAAATCATTACAAAGCCACAAGGACAAGAAATAGAATAGGATTGAGTATGGAAAAGTTGCTGTCTACCAGGGTTTTCAGGAAGCGTCCGTCCTCACTATAGTCGCACGTTCCTAACTCCTAAGGTCAGCACGATAGGGCGCAGAGCACTTAAGACCGGGGGCAGAGTGGTCTCTTCAAAGTTGAACATGTGACTATGGGGGGCAGTTTCCCCAGACCGAGCCTAGGAGGACACAGAGAACAGGGAACATTGGATATGACCATAGATAGGACCATCTTCCAGCCCTGAAGCCATTTACACCTGGAAATGTTTGTGGTGGGATGGAAGAGGTAACGATCGTGAGGATGATGCTTCCCATCTGCGGAACATTTTACATTGTCCCAAACACTTTTATATACGTTATTTGACTGTCATGTCTTTCCTGTGAGATGGACTCGATTGGGAAAATAAACTTCACAGTGTATAAGGGACTTGCTCAGGGCCACATGGCTGGTCTGAGCCAGGACTAGAACCCTTGGGCTTCCTGCCTCGGTCCTCTTCCTGCAACCCACACAACGACCTTCCGCATCATCCATCCCACGGACCCCTTCCGCTACTCCAGTCACATGGCACATCATGGTCAAAAGTGCATGCTTTAGTTTTCATTGCCGTGCCAAGTTGTGGTCCGCAAAACCCTTCCAGCCTGCTTCCATGGCTTTCCTTACAAACTGTGGTGCCCAAGGTATTTGTGCCAATTTTTTCCATGAGGGCAGTCTGTCAGAAAATTTGCTTCCTGAAGCTTCATATCCCTGAAACAACATCTGCCCAAATCGGCATGTGGTTTACCACGACTGCCAGCATCATTATAGCCTCTCAGCTAACGATGCAGGATTATACAAGTCTATGGGGACAGAAGACAGCTGGTGGGAGAGACGCATTCAAAGCCAACACAGCTGGCTTGCCAACTGACTAGTAAATCTCGAGCTGTGTGATTGTGGGCAACTTTAAACTTTTTTATCTGTTATAAACGTTGTATCAAACGAGACGGAGCACAAGAAAGTATTTTTGCAAACCATAAAATATTATATAAAATTTAGTTACCACTATTTCATTTCCTACATGTGCATGACCCACTTTGCCAATTATCCATGGAAAACTGGGTCACTGCAGCATCCCTGAATTGGCATGCTTCTTGTTGCCTGACCCTTTTTCCAGATGGCACTCTCAGGTGACACGGAACAGGGTTCCAGCTTGAACCTACTGTGGGCTTCAGATAGGACAGCATGTCTGGGAGGACACCTGCCAGACGCCTATTTGCATGAGGAACTGAGACACCACCTGGGGAAAAGCTCACACTAAGAGAAAGAGGAGTCTGGCTTGCGGACCCCGAGGCAGGAATAAATCATGTCTTCACGGCCCATGGGGAGAGAGGGAGTTTTAGACCCTGTGATGCCCAATGCTTAGTTAGATCTATCTCTGTGCCCAACTGCTCACGTGAATCCTATGAAAAGCAGGGGTCGGGGATGGAGGGGTTTTTGGGAACAATGAGAAATAAAATGGAAAGCTCTGTTTTCCTAAGAACTCTCTGGGACCCAAGGTACACTGAGGGCCTCTCCCCTTGCCCTCTCCACCCAACACATTACAACAGAACTCCCTGAGGTCACAATGGCTCAGTGGCTGGAGGCTGGAAGACCGGGTGGCTCACTATGTTCAGGATCATACATGGAGTGTGCTCTAGCATCTCTGGAAATATTTAGGGCACTTTGTAGGAAGTTGAGGTCCTGAGTGAGCAGCTGTGAGAAAAGTCAGTGAATTTGGATTATTTGGGTTAAATACTCCAAATGCACTTACAGGTTGTATTACAGGCTGGATGAGCTTGACTAGAATAACACTAGTCTCGTTTGCTGGCATCTCAGAGGTCAATGTTGTTTCAAAGGAGCAAATACAGCGAGGTTACTTCAACCACTATTTCGTGAGCGCCTATTATGTGCCTGGTCCTGTCTCGGCCCTGCAGATACATAAAGCAGGCAGACATCACGTCTGCTCCTGAAGACCTTGCAGTCTACTAGGCAGGTAAGCAGCGTGTCTTTGGAAATGCCAATTCACAAAGTGTCTGTAAGCTGTAGATTCAAAGAAGGATCAACAATGAGCCCAGGAGGAAGGATCCTCCTCAAAGATAAACCTGTTTCACAAATGGGTCTAGATCAACCCTGTCCACAACTATAACTTCAATCAATTAGCCTAAGAAGCAGCACGCTGTGCTGGATGGAACAGAAGAGAACTAGCTCAGGGTCGAGTTCAGGCTCTGAACCCACATAGAAATACCAGCTGCAGCCCTAGATAAGTCATTTCTCTGAGTTTCTCTTCCCACATCTGGAAAATGTGAAAGAAATACCTGCCCTCCTTGTCTGTCTCAAGGAAGTGACTGTGAGGGGCAAGCACGACACTGAGCATGAAGACAGTCTGAGATCCAGAATCTATAAAGACGTATTCAAAAGCAAAATATTGTCTTTTTGTGGATTATAATCATTTTCCTTAGAAAATAGCAGCATGATGGCAAATGTATTACTGTGTTGCTCATCCACTCTGGTGTGATGGTTAATTTCACGTACCAGCTTGGCTGGGCTGTAGTGCCCAACCACGTGGTCAAACACCATACTAGATGCTGCTGTGAAGGTATTTTTTAGATGTGCTTAACATTTAAAGCAGTAGACTTTGAGTAAAGCAGACTACCCTCCATTATGTGGGTGAGACTTGTTTAATCAGTGGAAGGCCTTAAGAGAAAAGACTGAGGGCCCCTGAAAAGGAAGGAATTCTGCCTCCAGACCACTTTCAGACTCAGGATCACAACATCCGCTCTTCCCTGGGTCTCCAACTGGTCAGTCAGCCCTGCAGATTTCAGACTTTCCAGCCCCTACGACTGCATGAGCCAATTCCTTAAAATAAATCTCTCTCCTTCTCTCTTTTTTTTTTTACTTTAACCACCTTTAATTGACTGCATCTTATGCAGGCAGCTTGCACATTTCAAATCCTGTTAAATCTCTCTCCAAAAGGATACAGGACAATAGAAGAAAATTATGCAGCAATATTCAGTCGTCAAACAGCAGCCCGATATTTTGAGATAGATGTGATATTTTATAGATACCCAGGTCATATATGATGTCAATGTAATTTATGGCTATGTTTTTACAAACCTGAAAGCCCTGTAACACTACAGCATTCATCTGAGTGACGTCACGGTGCACTGAGAAGTAACTCTGATGCACTACCGATTTGCTTCCATCTGTGCTCCTAGAAAGTGATGAACTCCATGAACTTTAGAGACCATAACAAACATACACGCCCAGTTTTATACGTCAGCCTACATAGAGACAGACTTATTTAGAAACAAATAATGTAAATAATTATATATCATATACTAATACTAATCAATATTAATATAATTATATATTAATTTGTTCTATTTCTATTTCTCTGGAGAGTCCTGACTAATACACCTGTGTTCCACTGACTTCCACGAAGACACGCCGTGGCTCAGACTCACTGAGGCTCCAGTCTGTACGGCGGTGAGCTCTTCACAATGATTGTCCCAGAGTCAGACACCTGGCAGAGCAATTAGGAGTCATGATAGAGGTAATTTAATCTCAGTAATTGTGCGGGTTTTCTGTGCACCTCTTTGCCATTCTAAGACAGCCACATTGTATTTAAGGGATGAGCTGAAGATCTCATATGATTCAAAATTCACGTAATTCGAGAACAATCCTGACCAAGGATGATGACTACTTCTACTTATCAGCTAAAATGCAATGAGCATTGTTCACAATTATTAAGCCCACTACTTTGAAACGACGGTTCTTGACAAATTGTTACTTTGGGGGGATTCACATTACTCCATATTTTGTGTATGCAGAGTGACTGTACTAATTTCTAATAGTACACTGCTGCAAAGTCACATAAAACGTACACATAGCATTCCCCAACAGCTCATTAAGATTAATGGCCATTGTTGTTCTTGGTTTGTGCCTCACGAAAACATTACTATTAAGCAAAAAAAAAAACAAACAAAGACGACACTCTCTTGATCCTTTGATCTTGGATTATATTTTATAAGATATCTAGGAGTTATATAATGTCAATATAAAAATTTTATTATATATTTGCTAAATAACTACTAGTTAGATTATATTCATGTGAGATAATAGAAAATATATATTGGTCTCTGCCCCTGGTTCCTGCACTGAGCTCCTGAAATCTTTGTAATTTCCTAAGCCATAAGAGTACTAGGAACATCTTTTGTTCTAATATTTGGTCTTTGACTCTCATTTCTGATGCAGGGTTTTTGAAACCCTTGGAGTTTCCTGGGGGATAGCAGTGTCTTTAGTTCTAATGAGGTGACTCTGGGTAGGATCCTGGATGGCTCCCGGATGACGGTTGGTTGCCAGAAAGACCAAGCCAGGATTAGAAGCCTGGAATTTTCAGCCCTGTGCTCCTATTCTCTTGAGAAGGGAGAAGAGCTGAAAATGGAGTTAATGATTGATCATGCCTATGTGAGGAAGCCTCCATAAAAATCCCAGTAGTAAGAGGTTTGGAGAGCTTCCAGGTGGGTGAACACATCCACATCGGGAGGGTGAGGCACCCCAACTCCATGGGGACAGAATTTCCTGCACTCAAGACCCTCCCAGACCTGCTCTATGTATCTTTTCATCTGGCTGTTCATCTGTATCCTTGATCATGTCCTTTAATAAACTGGTAAATGTAACTAAGAGTTTCCCTGAGTTCTATGAGCTGCTCTAGCTAACTAATCAAACTCGAGGAGAGGGCTGTGGGAATCATGGACTCATGGCCCAATTGGTCAGATGCACAGGTGACAACCTGGACTTGCGATTGGCCTCTGGAGCGGAGTGGGAGCCCTCTTGCAGGACTGAGCCCCTACCTGTGGGCTCTGATGCTCTCTCTGGGTAGACAATGTCAGAGTTGAGTTTAATTGTAAGACACCCAGCTGGTGCTGCAGAGAATTGCTTGGTGGGAAAAAACCCACACATCTGAGGTCAGAAGTGCTGTGAGTGAGGTAGGAGTGTGATGGTAAAGGGAAACAGGAGGAAAAGTGAGTTTTTCTAATACAATTCATACAAAGTTAAAACCAGTCTTGTCTGATATTTTAAAATATCAAAAAAACATATAGGTGAGGTAAGATGTATGAGGTGGCAAAGAATATAGATTTGGGAGGCCGACTGCATTTCATTCTTGTATTCTTATTTTAATTCTGAGCAAGTGGCTTGAAATAGTAAAAAGTATCGCAAATACTGAGGCCAAAACCTCTGAATTTTACTGCATCCTGAGGCACTTCTGCCTCTTCCCTTTCTTCCCCGTGGAGGAGAGACCTCAGACCCAGGGCTCCCCCTGCGCTCCAGTTCTCGTCCCCTCCCACCTCCTCGGGAACTTGTACCACTCGGGTATCTGCTCTTCATCCCACATCTTCTACTCTCCCCTCCCCCAGTTCTGGCCAATTAGCACTTAGACAAGTTCAGATCTCTCCCATCTTAAAACAACCACCTAAACAAAAACCTTCCTCATCTCTACATCACCTCCCACCTCCTTCCACAACTATTCCTCAGTCTTCTCCCCCTCACCTGAGAATCTGGAAACAGATTTTTACATTGTGCCTTCTTCCCTGTTTCCTGCACTGTGGTTTCTGCCCCGCTACTCTGCCCAAAGCCCCCAGGGACTTCTGTGTGCTGTATCCAGTGAACACTTGACACCCAATGGTCCTTATTTCGCATGTGCTCTCTGCAGATCTGGACAATGGTGACTGCTGCCCCTTGCTGAAACACTCTTTCCTTGTTTTCTTTACACTTCATCTTTCTGGTTCTCCTTGATGCCCAGTCTTTCTCAGTTTCCTCTGCAGATTCTTCTTCTTGTACCTGGCCCTTATGTATCGAGTCTTCCAGGGCTTTTTCTAAGATGCTCTGCTCTTCTTCCTGATACTGGCCCACGGTCACTTCATCCATTCCTGTAGCATCAGCCACCACAAACACAGGATAACTCCCAAATCTCTCCCTTCACCCACACATCTCTCCTCTGCCAGAGACGTCTAAGCACCTTCTCACACCTCCTCCTGGGAGCCCCAGAGTACCACAAACACAACATAAAAATAAGTCATCATTGTCATCTCCCTATCCTGCTACCCCCTAAAAAGCCCCAACCCTCCCTCTCTTTCTTCCGAATTTCTTATCACCATCTGTGCAATTGCCCAAAACAAAAAACTGAAATCATCCAGGGACTTTTTTAAGGATTTGAGTTCAGCTGGGCCTATGGAACCTCAAAGTACATGGGCCAAACGAGGCCCTGGCCACTCAAAGACAGTCTTCAAACCCTCAGCTCTCATTGGGTCCTCCAGGATGGGGATGCACTACAAAAAGATTTTAGGCAGGATACTGGGGTCAAGATCAGCCCCACTCCTTCCTCCAGCTGCAGAGACAGGAGAGCCAGAAACGAAGTGAGGTCTCTGTCCTTTTCAACGTTTAAGTCTCTCTCCGCTACATCCTTCAAATGGGAGGCAACTGCTGCCACCCTGTGGCAACATGGAGGCACTGCAGCTCCTATACGCAGGCCAAGGGTGGGCTAAGCAAAGGCTCCTTAGATCTGCCCCTTCAAACAGACATTATCTTACAAAGGACTCTTTTTCTACTTGATATTTGTTAAGAAAATAGTATCGGTTCTCTTTATTTTGAAATGAAAAAAGCGAGGTCCAAAAGTCAGTATTATAAAAAAGAATTTGGGTATTTTTATGTTTGGCAATATAGGTTTAAAATTTTTTCAGACATTTATAAATATCTACTCAGTGGCTCGATATCTGGTGTCACCACAGTGCTAGATACCTGCTGGCCTAGAAGTGTGGGGAAAATGAACCCGGGGCACTGGAACGACTATTTGACCCGAAGCTGTTAACATTCCGAAAACTAAAGCACATTTTCTGGTTGGATTCATCCAAGGCCAACATGAGTGCCAGTTGGCAGAGCCTGTTCTGACTCCCAAGAGTCTCTATCCCATGGCAAACGGCTCTCTGAACCAACCCCTTGGACAGCTGGTGGCTTTATTTGTTTCCAGGGATAATATAACAACAGTAGCCATTTGGCTATGTCATAGGGGCCAATGAGCAACTTTGGGCTCAGGGGAAGATGGCGCTGCTGAAATACAGGTGTCTGGAAGCGTATCTGCACTGTGCTGCTAACTGGCCGGGTAATCAAAAACAATACCGGGGAAAGCTACCAAGGACTGAAATTGTGTTGTCGATAATCCACCAAGCGAGAGGAGGGGCCAAGCCTGCAATTCGGTTACCAACAGCACCCCCTTACTGCACACGAGAGAGCGGGCCAGAAGCCCCACTTGATACATGAGAAAACTAAGGCTCAGAGAAGTTGCCAAGATCATGCACAGCTAATAAATAGTATGGCCGAGACTCAACCCTGGGTCTCCTTGCCATCAAAGCAACGTTTCCTCTCTATAAATCAAGTTGGTCCCTATTTGTCTTTACTTTGTGTTTCTGTTTTGCTTTGGGCTAAGAATTTATACTTTGAAAGATGCTCTTAAGTCATATTTAAGGTGCCTATGAAGAAGTAAAAAATAACCCCCGATCCTCCCTGGATGTTTTTGGCAAATGCTTCCTCCGCAGTGACCGCTTAGAGCAATCAACAGGCAGGAGGCTGGCCACCAGGTTTCAGGAATCCTCTGATAGGCAGGACTTCCAGTCTAGTCGGCCCCCTGCTGGTTTCGTTCCAGAACTGCAAAAAGTCAGTTCTCAATAGGCAGCTGTACCAAGGGCACAGACCTTGCCCCACGGGGATCACAGTCAAAGGAAATAGACGTTTTGCTGAGCACACGTCACTGAGCTCTTGGCAAAAACTTCTAGGTAGATTTTTTTAAAGTACAGAATAGAAATGGAATATTTTCCTTGAACTGAAAAGAGTCTCAACAGCTCTGGATGTCATATAGTGCTTACATACCTATTGTCTCCAGATACATTTACTTTTCCCTGAGATTATATGTTCATTCTTCAAATATGTACTAAGTGCCTACTATGTGTCTTGGAATAAATCAGTAAATAAAACAGACATAGCCTCGTGGAGCTTAGATTCCAGTGGGGAGGCAGACAATAAGCAAGGAAACAAATATTAAACATAAATTACAAAAAATGCTATGGAGCTTAAAAAAACAAAAGGACACTGTGACAGAGAATGGGGCTCCTCAGATAGGGCAGTCAGGGCAGGCCTCTCTGAGGAGGTGATTTGAAACTGAGACCTGAAGAGGAGGATACAGCTACCCAGAGTGGGAAGGACAAGCCGTGTGAAAGACAGGAGGTAGGAAGAGACTGGTGTGACCCAGGGTGACTGAAGGACCGAAGGGAGGCCAGGGTGGGTGAGAAAGGAAGCGGGAGGGCATACAGGGGACATGATCCTTCCAGGTCGTGGCAAGAAGTATTATTTTTATCTAGGTGCAATGGGAAGCCACTGACTGAATTTTAACCATGGGATTGACATTGATCTGACTTATTTATTTTTAAATTTTAACTCCGCCTTTCCCACAGAAAACAATTTGAAGGAAAGCAAGAGTAGAAGCAGGAAGACCAGTGAGCTGACAATCTTAGAAATCCATGCCCGACTCCACGGCATCTTGGAGAAGGGTGTTTGGAATGGGACTAAAGAGAAGAGAGGACAGGCAAACGACAGATGTATTTTAGAAACAGAAATGAAATAAATTGCTTATAATTTTGGTTTGATCTGTGATGGAGAAAATCAAGGATGACTTCCAGGTTTTTAGCTTGCATGTATGGCCAAGTGATGGCACTGGTCATTCAGATAGAAAAGATTGATATAAACAGGTTGAGGAAGGTGGTGGCAGAGAAATTACGATTGGCACATGGTAATAAAGCAATCCATTAAGCCTATAGATACACAAGAAAGAAGTTTGGCTTGAAAATACAAATATTGGAGATATCAGCCAAGAAATGGTATTTGGAGTCAAGACAATGAATGAGGTCATCTAGAGGGAGAATTGAGAAGAATAAGAGAAGTGGATCCAGCACTGAGCCCTGGAGAACTCAAGAATTAAAGTCTGGACTAGGGGAACAGGAGGAACCTGCAGACAAAACTGTGAAGAAATGGTTAAAGCAAAAAGGGAAATGAGGAAAGCCCAAAGTGTGCCATTTCGGCATGTCTCGACACCTCGGCCCCAAAACCAAGAAACCAACGAAAAGGGTTTTAAGCAGGGCATGGTCAAGTGTGCGGAATGCTGCAGAGGGTGAGTAGGATGAAGGCAGAATGTGGTGAATTTGGCATGGAAGTTGTTGGCCTTGACAAGAACAGTCCAAAAGGCATCTCAAAATTAACATGCACAAAACCGAACTTGAGATCTTCCCCTGAAGATCGTCAGTTTGCTCCTCTTCTAGAAAACTGTTCCTCTCCAGTTCCTCAGGCCAAAACCTTGGTGTCACCCTCAATTCTCTCTTTCTTTCAGTTCCTACCTCCAACACACCAGCAAATCCTGTTGGCCCTAACATCAAAATATATCCACAATCTGCCCATGTCTGACCACTTCTCTAGCTATCATGCTTGTTCACATCTCACCTGAATGATGACAATAGCCTCCTATCTAATCTCCCTGACTCCAGGCCTCCCTCCCGACAGGAATGTTTCCAACCCAGCAGTTGGAGGGATCCTTTTTGAAGCAAGGCTGAACACATCACTCTGTACAAAGACTCCAACGGCTTCAGACACACATTCAGAAGAAAAGCCAAAGTCATTACAGGACCATACGACTCTATGATGCAATCTGTCTCCACGCACTCAACCTCCTACCCCGCTTCCTGCCATTACCCCAGTCTCATCTCCTACTCTCCTGAGTCTTGGGCTTCCCCACACTGGCTCCTTGCCCCACTGTACGGCTTCTGCACTCGCATTGTCTCTGCCTGGAACCTCTTCAAACATCACACAGCTCACTCTCTCAGCCCTCAGATTTTTGCTTACCTTCCCAGTGAGGAGTCCCCTACCCCTATTTCAGTTCTTTCCTCCATCCCCCTCCTCTGCTTTACATTTTTACAGTACTTACAGCCATTTGACATATATTTTACTTATCCGTTTATTTAGAGACTATGTCTCCTGTGCCCCGCCACTCTTCGAGGTTCATGTTTATTTCCTCAGTACCTGAACCAGCACCTGGCATTCAAGAAATACTTGTTGACCTGGAAAGTGAGTGGTGGGAACAGTGGACAACAATGGACCAGGACAGAACGGGAGGTAAGGACGTACAATTAGCATGTGTCGAAAGGATGCTGGGACGGAGAGCAGAAAAATCGAACAGTAACTGGAAGAGATATGGAATCAAAGGAGGAATTTTTTTAAACGGGATATATGATCTCAGTAACCTAATAGTAATTTGTACTGATACTACATCCTATACTAAAAAGCTAGTTTATAATCCTATGTTTGAGAGCTAATATACATCTTCAATAATGAGATTAACCTCAAAATCACACAATTAATTACAGACTAGACAGAATAAGAGAAAATTGTCTTCTACATGCCACGTGTTAGCCTGTAAGGATCGTAGTGTCCAGTAATTGTCATCTAAGGTGATGATGATTCTTCAGAAATGATTTCACAGCAGTGCAGTCATGAAGGCTGAAACTTTATTTTTGCTTCTCTGATCTGGAATATTACCTGCTTGCACGTGAGTAAATTTAAACCCTACCCCCCAGCTAAGCGGAAACTTAGAGAAGTTAAGTAATTTGCTCAAGGTCGCATCTCTAATAAATGATGGAGCTGGCACTTAAATCCGGGCATCTTTGGGAACAGTCTATGTTAAATGTGTGTTAAAAGTCACATCAGAATTCGTGTATTACGTATATTCTTTTTATAAAAATTAGAGGAAAGTTTTTCTAACTTGGTCCTTCACAATAAAATCCTAAAATAAATGTTGGAAGGGCTATAGAAGATACTGCTTCCATCTGTCAGAAGCCTGGGAATCAGCAGGAGTGAATGTCTGAGCAGAGACAATGCAAACAAACAGACGAGTGGAAATGATGCTACACTCACATAAATAAGTATTAGACCACTCAACAAATTAAATGCCAAGGTTCAGGACTGGGAAAAATCCAAGTTTCTTATTTTGTTTCTTTTTTCCCCAAAGTCTTTGGACTACTTTCTCTCTGTTAGTTTTCATCCAAGCCGTAACAGGCAGAACTCTAATGTGACCCCCAAGATTCCCACCCTGGTGTACATGCCCTGCAGAACCCTCTGCATTTGAGTGTGGGTGGAAGCTGTGAATCTAATGGGATAGTGCCCCCTTGATAAATGACAAAGGTGATGCGAGAGTCACTCCCATAATTATACATTATAATTAGGAGACTAAAGGGGTATTCTTCCTCTGGCTTTGACGAAGTAAGCTGCCATGTTGTGAGAGGGCCATGTGGCTTACAACCTGAGGGTGGCCTCTAAGAGCTGAGAGGGACCCCAGCTGACAGCCAGCAAGAAAAAGGGGACCTCGGTCCCACAACAGCAGGAAACTGAATTCTGCCAATAACCTTAATGAGTTTGGAAGAGGAACCCCCCTCCAAGCTCCAGCTGAGATTGCATTTCTAGTTAACACCTTTTTTTGTGTGTGAGGAATACTGGCCCTGAGCTAACATCTGTTGCCAATCTTCCTCTTTTTGCTCGAGGAACATTGTCACTGAGCTAACACCTGTGACAATCTTCCTCTATTTTATGTGACATGCTGCCACGGTGTATCTTGACGAGTGGTACTAGGTCTGCTCCCAGGATCCAAACCTGCAAACCCCGGGCCACCAAACTGAAGCACACAAACTTAACCACTATGGCACCTGGCCAGCACCTGGTCAACACCTTGATTTCAGCCTGATCAGACTCTGAGCAGAGGGCTCAGCAAGCCCACGCCCAACTCCTGACCAAAGGAAACCATGAGATAATACATGGATATTGTGTTACAACGCTCCTGGGTACTGCGTTAAGATGCTGTCTGTTACACAGTAATGGAAAACTAAAACACAAGCCAATATTCCTCCCTTCCACAGACACTGTTAGAGGAGACCTAACGTGGCAATGACCGCACATCACCCCAAGGGTAATGATGAAAACAGAGTTTTTAATTGGAAAGTGTCATAATCCATGCTCTTGCATACCCCCATGCCTTTTCATTGGCTCTTCCCTGATGAATTCCTATTCAAACTTTGAAACTCAGGTCAAACGTTGCTTCTTCAAAGCAGCATTTCCTTACAGCCACCCCCAGCCACTCCCAAGCAGAATAAATTACTCCTATTCTTTGCTTCCAGAGCAGCAGCTTCTCTGTACATCTACTAAAACTCTTGCCTTGATGCACTGTAACAACCTCCCCTCTCGCTCCCACCCCAGGACTGAGAATCCCCTAGGGCAGAGCTGCCCCAGGCTCCTGCACAATGGCTGGCACAGGGCAGGCGCTAAATAGTTGGAGACCCAGTGAAGAAAATGAGGCTGGCGATAAACACAGGCTTTTAATGCCCAGGGAGTTGCTATTTCTTTTCCACACAGATGATCAGGCTGCAGGTATTAATGGAAACTCGGAAAGCCTTCTCCATGACAGCAGCTGGGTGACTAACCAAGCACTTCCTGCATCAAAAGGGCAGGTGTTGACTGTCTCCAAGGAGCTGGTCTGAAATGGACAGGGGAGCTTGAAACAACAGGAGGCAGGTGCCGGGAAGGGTTTCGAGTCTCCATAAAAGCGGTGGTGTGAAGCCCTGTCTGATCTGCTCTGATTCAAGCCCTGTGCGAGGTTTGTACGCTCGCTGACTCACATCACCTGTGTTAATCCGTTCCTGGACTCAAACACCAACCTAAACAGACCACTGTCCCACAGAGCTAGTTTTACTCAATGGCTTAAAACTATGGGTATCAAGACAGAAACGAGAATCACATATCAACAATATCCATGGCATTCACAGGACCCAAAGGTAGACAGCATTTTTAGGAAATTATAGACACAGGCAAAATTATGCATAATCAATCTACAAGAAATAGCATTTGCTGGGTGTGTGTTTTGACAAAACTCAGAGAAAGAATTCACGTTTTTCCTTAGGACTCATTCCCGTAGGCAAATACCTCAAGTGCTGCCTTGTGTTTAACCTAAACTAACCATGCTATTGCCCTAGGCCTCCACCTCAGCGGAGGAAGAGATCCTTCAGAATCAGAGAGGACACAAAGCCAGGCGTGGAAATAAGGCAGCTGCTCCTAAGAGCTGCTCGCCACCAGCTAGTAAGAGCCAGATTCAGATTCTCTCCATAAATAAATCATTGAACAACAGAGTACTGCTTTCTAAGAAAAGTATTACAACCACATTGCCAGAGGCTTAGAAAAATCTTGGAGGAAAATGATCTTGCCACACAAAAACAATTTAATTAACATTTGTTATATTTTTAAATATTTTTTTAAAGTTTTTGACATAAACTCAATGTCAGTATCTCGCTTGGATCCCTTTGGGTTTCTATGGTGTCATTCGTAAGAATCAAATCAGATCCCACAGGTCCTACGTTTTGAGGATCCCGCAGGTCCTACGTTTTACAGGTACTGGCTGGCAGTGGCTCAACGAGGCAGCCAGCTGGGGGACACAATTTCCCGAAGATCAGTACGGGCGAAGATGTGGGGTCTGGGTTCTAACCATTCTTCAGGGATAACACTAGATGCTCCTTTATTCACTCAGTAAATATTCATGTACCAGACTGTGCCAGACGCTAGGGCTCTGGCTGTGAATTAGATGGTAATGTCCCTGATCTCATGGGACTTAGACTCTCACACGGATGTTTGTATGTAGATACAACGCAGACAAAGAAGAAAGGGAAAACAGAGGAAGTAGAGCTTCTTCAATATGTGTTAATAATTTTAAATGCTAACGGAAGTCTCAAACTGGCAGAACACAGTAAGTACCTTCGATGCTCTGTGGGCCCACAAGATTCATGGCCTGGTGAGCTGGATACTCTACCCGTGGCCTGGCAATGCCCAACTGCTCCATAACGCCGTGGAGTAGCCTCTGGATATCTGTTTCTGAGACCCGGTCAGGGGTCCTCGGGCTATAAGCAGATGTTGGGGTAAATCCAAATGTCAACCAAAACACTAGGCCAGACAGCATGGTAGAGACCATCCTGGAGACCATTTTTAACCTGCAGGAAAGAGACCAAACATATATCGATTGGCCACAATTGGTAATTGTGACGATGTAATCATGCAGTCACTCCAGGGAGTGACTCAAGGACCACCCAGAAAAGGACTGTGAGGACAAATCCTTAAGGGTTTGTTTTTGTTTCAGGTGACCACTCCAGGCAGGACATCTGCTGTGGGATGGTATTAAAGAAACAAAACAGTCCGAGATAGCCAATGCCCTCTGGCTTGCGTTCTTGGGAAGGCTAGACTGGAATGGCAGTTCTCACTCATTTTTTATCTTCCTTGCAGCTCCCTGAAAGTTCTGCATTACCCCTAATCCCAGCACTATCGCCTTCTTACTAAAACAAACAAACAGCAAAAATGTGCTTCAATTTTGAGAAAGAGACAGAGAGGGGGACAGCCTGAGTGTTCCCAGTCTCGGGGAGGAAAGGCTCACAGGAAGGAGTTAGGAAGCTGAAAACGGTGAAAAGTCACAGCAGGTTAGGAGCGGTGGAAGGGAACATCTTAGCTTAGAAACATCTAATACGTTTGAGATGCTGAGCGCGGCTGAAAGTCCATGCCACTCAGGCCTGCTCTGCATCTGGGAGAGACGAGGTAGGCTTGTTGACCATGTAACAACTGGGTGATCCTGGCCAAATGCCTCAGCTTCCTCCTCTGCAAAAACGGGATGAGAAAAGCATCTGTCTTACAGGGTTGTGGTGAGGATAAGTGTGGGAGCACATGCAGGACGGATCAGAAAGATGCCAGGCACAGAGCCCCCTATATCGCTGTTATATTGACAACATTGCCTGATGGTCCTGGGGGTTAGAATCTGGGGAAGCGGTAGTGATGACAGGGAAGACAGAACAGGTGAAGGAGAAAACCAGTCTGCAGTCAGCCTGTCCTAAATGTTGGCTTCTATGGAACCAGAAGCCTGCAGAGCAAGGGGACAAATATTCATGCCGCTTCCCTCTGCAGGTGTTGACCCTCTTTAGGAGGGACGCTGCAGGCAGCGGCCGTGCAAATCCTTTTTGATCATTCTTGGGGGGGCGGGGCATGCATTTTCTTCCCTGAAACGGAAATATTCATAACTCCAAATTTCTTTTCCTATAAAGAACAGGGTTTTTCTGGCCACTCCTGGATATATAACCTTGTTCCCCAAAGAGCTGAGACAGCAAAGCCTGCAATTCTGACGGAAAAGGCCGGAGGCAGACACCAGCTTCTCCAGTCATCTCCATCTTTCCCTCGTCCGCTCTGAACGCAGGATGTCTTCCTGTTTCATTTACACCCCCAGCCCACACCAGATTTAGAGCTACCCAATCTCCTTCCTCAGTACTCTTTCCCTCTGATTTAGAGCCGAACCTCCTAATCCCGCAACCATCCTTTGTCTGCCCCCAGCCTCCAGCTCAAGGATTTCAGCAGGATGCCCTCCCCCACTCCCAATCCCGAAGAAAAACCCGCTTGTCTCGGGCGGCATCAGGAGGTCGAGCGGGCATCAGCGCAGGACTCACCGAGGGGCAGCCGGAGGAGCCTGCTGCGGTCTGGGCCTTGGTGGGGGGCGGGCGGGGTGCGGGGCGCTCGGGATCGCTCTTGCGTCACCTCCCTCCCCATCGCATCTTAGCTCCGCCCCGGCCCCTCCTTCAGCAGGTGGAGGCCGCCTCGCCCGGACTCCCTAGAATGCAAGCGAGATGCTGGTGCCTTGTGAGGCAGCGTTCAACCCACACATTCCAGGTACGCGTCTCCTAGAGACCCTCTCCGCTAGCGATTTCTGTGGAATTAAGTCACCTTTTCTCAAGCAATTATCTAAACAATGTGCCATATCCACTTCTGTCCTTCGCCCCTACTAGCACACTGTTAATTTTGCCACCTTCCAGCTATTTTTTTGAGTTTTAGCTTGAAGAGGGAAGAGGCAATGGGGCAATGGTAGGACAGACAAACAAAAGATGAAGAGGTCCGGAGAACTTGTAATGATGGCAGTGATAGGGTATATCCTAAGGGTTTTCAGGAGCCCTTTCATTGAGCAGGAAAACTATGGGGATATTTAATATAAGATGCTAGAAACTTCTATCAAAGTGATACAGCAAAAGCACGTGAAAACCTCTAAGAATATTAGTTCTGAGTGTTTTTTCTAAATTTCCACATCAACTATCAAGCAGAATTCCTTTGGCCTGAAAAGAAACCATACTCCTGGCACATTGCAGAAATTTATCCAAGTAGACTCAAATTTTTTGTTAAAGATTCATAGAGCAATCTTGAACATTTGAATTTTGTTCAAATACAAAAATTGAAATGTAAACCATACAGTAAATATAGTACTGCAAATTTCTTTCATCAAGACTGGGGGTCTGAGAATAACTAACTTGGTGAGGTCAGAAGCCAGGTCTCTGCCCTGGCTCTACGCAGCAAATCCATCATCTGTGGTAATTTTGTGCAGTGAAGAGGGGCCCACAAAATTCGTTCAGGAGACATGTGGCCTTTAGCTTGGGAACCAACGCTCCTTCCAGCGCCTTTTCTTCCACGGATACCCTGGTTTCCAGCTTTTTGTTTCAGTGCATGGTAAATCAACAGGACAAATACTGTCTATTGATTCCAGGCTCAAAGACCGTGCTGGGGTTTAGTATTTATTATTCATGCATACTGAGGTTTGTTTTTCAATTCTGAATTTTAACATTGTTCAGTTACCTTCATTTTGTACTTCGAAAAATGGAGGTCATTACAATTTACTGCTTTTGTGTTGAATGAAAATTTGACCGAAATACACCAAAATGTTTATGCTTCAGATGAAATTTGCTATTTTAAAAACATCTATCATATATATCCTGGGCTTGATGATTATCAAAATCCTTATAAATTGTTAGTGATTATAGAATGTTGCCAAGCAGCCTACTAAGTTCTATGTAATTGTAGTTTGTTGCTCCTAACAATCACATTAACATTAGATCTTTACTTACTTGTAAGAACAAAGTGAAAATAATCCTTAAGTTACTGCACATGTCCAAGACAATTTTAAGTATGTTTGTATATCATTTGATCAAATATTCCCATGAGGTTAGTAGCATTATTATCCCCATTTTGTATAAAATGAAAACAGAGGTTAAATCAAGTCTGAAACTCAACTTTCCTAATTCTCCAATTACTACCACTCTAAACTATTCACTTTCAGTCCTATACTCTGTATTGAAGCTTTCATTAACCAAAATGGGAGTGACGTGGGTTTTGTTTTTTTAATATCTTTCATGTTGATTACTGATTCATCTCTTAGAAAAGCCACTAATTCAGGTGATGTGTACAGTTAATCTCCTATGCCTTCTTACTGAATTAGTCCTCCAATTCAACATTTCGCCCACCCCCCGGATATAAAATGACATTAATGCATTTTTAAAAGTTTAAAAAATTGCTTTGAACCAGGCAACATAATTTCAGAGTTTATGAATATTTTCTGTCTGTACTTACTATTAGAAATACTATAAATATCTGAAACTCATATCCAGTCTATATTACAAACCTATTTCGATGTCAGATAAACATGATTGTTTCAGATCTGAAAACCTGAAAATCAACAGATTTTCACAGTCTTTATGTAAGTCAAATACTTTCTAGTTCTGAGAAAGGGCTGATTCCTAGGTAATAAATATAGAAACAGGAAAGAGCTTTGAAATAAAACAGATGTACTGCTATCAAGCATAACTTGGTAAAGCAAACATCTGGTGCCTCTGAATTCCTCATCTAGACACACGCTGTGAGTCTGGTGGCTCTGAGTTGGTGTGCAGGGCTCTTCTAGTCTGCCAACATCCGAATGTGGCATTCTGACAACTGACCTACACAACTCTCTTTAGTGGTTGATTCTGCCTGCACACTCCTCCTCTAAAACTTCAGCAAATATCCTCTATTGTTGATATTATTCTTTCCTTCAAGATTTGTGATTTCTAACAATTTAAAATACAAAATTTAGATAGACGTGCTTGACAAACTGGAACAAATTCTAAAAGGTATTTTGAATTTCATTAGAGTCTCAGGCAGTCATTTTCCAGAAAGTTGTCTTTAATGTCTATGCTAAATAAATAACATTTACACATAAGACAAAACCATCGTAGGCTTTTTATAAGAATCCAAGGTAAATGTACAGAGGTGCGACTATTTCAAATTCTAAAATCAAGCATCTGCATATAAGAAAATCACCATGATTAAAATTTTCCAAGCTTAATTATTCCTCCTTACATAATTTTAAATTCTATATTGGACAAAACAGACACAAATGTATTTGTGCAAATTAACTTAAACAATATGGTATGGCTTCAAAGTCATCAGTTACTTCTACAGCACCACACTACATGAGCACACGTGAGTCACTCTGATCACCATTATGCTTATTCAGTGAACACACTGTACACACCTACAGGCAAGACAAACAATTACACTGCGCCAAATAGGAAGAAAGGATGAAGATGCTATTGGAGCATATTACTATCTAGGGGTTTTAGTAAAGACAGTGAACATAAACGTAACTCAAGAAATACGATTTGCAGGGCTTATCTCTTCCCTTTATGCGTTAGAAATTTCTTGTAGAAACCTTATGACTTAAGAGGAAAAACAGGGCATTAGGCACAACTCGTTCCACTCTTCCTATCACACTTAAAAAATAAAATTCATTCAATTTTCAAAAATTAATTTCTTATAGGCGCTGGCTGGGTGGCATAGTAGTTAAGTTTGCGCACTCCACTTCGGTGGCCAGGGTTTGCCGGTTCGGATCCCAGGCGCAGACCTACGCACCACTTGTCAAGCCATGTTGCGGCAGGCGTCCCACATATAAAATAGAGGAAGATGGGCACGGATGTTAGCTCAGGGTCAATCTTCCTCAGCAAAAAGAGGAGGACTGGCAGCAGATGTTAGCTCAGGGCTAATCTCCCACTACCTCCCCCTCAAAATTAATTTCTTATAAACTCAGTCAACAATTTCTTTAAAAAAGCGTAAACTCTGCTTTAAGAGATCAAAATAAAATTAAAAAGTTTAAGTATTGCCATAATTAAGAAGAACAAAGTCATTTATGTAAGCATAAGAATCCAAGTTGCTTGGATAGATGCGCACAGCAATAATCCTGAGCTACAGACTGACATGTGGATTACCTTGCAAGTCATGTCACCAATTGCTAATTTTATTTACATTAACGACAACTCCTAGCAATTACAAGTCCACAGGTTTACTTGTTGGCAATAGTTGAGCTTTTCCAATAGGATTTTTTGGAGACCCTTTATACCAGATTCTTTCTCTTTCTGAAGGTTTCCTAAGGATCCTGTTATTTATCCCAGAAAAGCCCATATTATTATTTATGACAGATTTTAATATATTATGATTTGTCAGATCATCCAAGGGAACCTTAATTTGGCCATCCGATTTCACTTCCTGTTGACAAACTCTGGTAGACCCAAGAGAAGCATTCACGGAGTCCGGGAGCCTCTTCATCTGTGAGAAAGATTTAGAAGTTAACTCCAAGCTTGATTTTGAGACTGCATCAGCATTTGACTGTTTGCACGATGCCGACTTCTGTTCTTGAGGACCTGATTTGGGACATGAAATAGAGGAATCTTTTGACTTTGTACTTTCTACACAAGAGGAAAGAGCGCTGTCACAGCTCACTGATTTAACCAGAGGAGAAGTGGCGTCACCGACACTTGCCAGTTTATGCCTTACAGGTTGTCTGCCATACTCCAGCAAAGAATTAATTCTTCTGACAGACTGACGGACAGGCGTTCGCTGAAACTTAAGAGGTGACTTTACTTTTGTCTTATTCGGTTCATGTAAAGAAAGCTTGTTAAACCACTGTATGTGGTCTGAAACCTTCCCCTGCTCTGTCATTTGTAAACTTTCAGAAACCATTTTATCACGTGTTTCCACGAGTGATTGCTGTTTAGCAATTCTCACAACTCTAGGTTTTGACAAGTTTGTTATGTTGCATGTACTCTGCTCAGAGGAAGAGGAGTTAGCCGCGTCCTCCCTACAAGCTGTGCATGTCTGTAAGTTCTCTTCAATCAGATCCTCGTTCGCCTTTAATTCAGTATTTCGTTTATCCCTTGGGGACTGTTGTTTCTTTATTTCTTCATTACTGGGCAATTCTTCTTTGCTTAAATGATCTTTCGGTATATTTGAATGAATGCTTTTTTCATGTTCCATCTTCATCTGAGTTGAGTAACATTTCATAGTTGCTTCTTTATCCAATTTTTGAGTTGGATGTGATGAGAAGTCTCTTTCTGAAAAACTATTTTCATCTTTACTAGTGTGGTGTTCATTTGATTCTATCACAGTCAAATCATTAGTTTCAAGTAGGTTTTTCTCTGGGCTATATTCCATAGAAGACGTTTCATTTAATTTTACTTTCCCCACATTAGTTATTGATGACTGCCTGTGATTTATCAATGAATGAAGATTACTTCCCGATTCAGAAAATGCTTTCTGAATTTTCACCAAGGTCTCTGTGGTCAAGTTATTTTCATCCCCACTAAGAGAACTTCCAGTTGTGTTGCTATTTTGGT